AAGGCTTGTTTTGTTTCCCATATTTAAATAACCGAATTGCAATCATAATACTTAACCAAGCTAGAAAATGACATTACTACTTATCCTTCAATAAAAATATGTCTCAAAGCTCTTTTTTTTTTTTTTTTTTTTTTTTAATCCTCCGTCCACTTTCCCTTCTCCCGGCACTAAGGTTTCCTTCTTAAATTACTCCGAAGTTTTAGAAAAATAACCAGACTTATTTTGTTTTAGCACATATGTTTTGGTTTGGGGATATTTCACACTAATGTAAACGCCCTGTGCCTCTGTAGTAAACATGTCTGTGAGTTGCTAATTGTTTTTTATTCACCCCAGAGATGGTTGGCAGACATGATTATGGCATTTTTAGCCCACAAATTTGGTGTTTATTTCTGGGGCTTTGATCATAAACCCTACACACAGGCATACAGGTTGGTTGCCCTGTGGAGAGAATGAGGGGAAGCATCATGGATCCTTTAGCTTTCGTGGAGGCTGGGACACTCTGCCTCCTCCTCTCTGCTGGTATGCTTTGGCTCTGGCTGCCTTAACAAAACAGCACTGGCCGCCAGGCTCAAACAGCAGACCTCCACTTTCTTCCGGTTAGTCCTAGATTCTGGAAGGCTGCGACTCCAGGCCTAGGAAATCAGGTGAGAACTGGTCTCCTTTCACGGATGGCTTCTTCACGTGACCTTTCTTCCATGCCACACTTTGGGAGACTCACTGGTGTCCCTTTCCCTCTTTATGAGAGCACTGGTTCTGTCTGTTTAGGCATCACACTAATGACCTTATATAATTTAATGACTCTGGAGGAGTACAACTTAGTTCCTATGACATATGAAGGGCAGTGCTGGCCTCCACTAGCACTCTGGGTCTCCCCACCACCAGATACACTCCCAACCCTTGAGCTCAGAAACACTAATCTCTGTGGCTTATGTCTATGGGATTCATGGTCCGTTGACTTCTGGCAAGTTTTAGCCAATAGTGTAGACTAGAAGGAAGTGGGTATGAGGGTAGGAGGGGTGCAGGGGCAACCTTGGTTGACAAGACCCTCCCAGGCCCTAGGTGTCCCCCATGATCAGTTCTAGTGACTCCTCTCTCCCCATGTCCAGACTTTGGGAGGCTGGTGAGCATGTGCTGTCCTTTCAGCTTTCTATGCTTATTATCATTTGTTTACTCATAAGACTGAGTCTTACTGTGTAGCCCCAGATGGTTTAGAATTTAGTATGTAGCCCAGGATGGCTTTGAAGTCACGGATATTTGCCTGCCTCTGCCTCCCTAGAGCTGAAATTGAAAATATGTGCTACCTTACCCGGCCATGTAATCATCTATGCTCACGTATAAAAAAAAAAAAAAAGCCCATCTGTTTGATATGAGGATGTCACCTCTGGAAGGGGCATTATCAGGATAGCAGCAATCCATGGCCCTTTTGTCTCTGTATATTCCTAACCAACACCTTAAGCAGTGTCACGTTTCCTCTGTAGTGATGTAACTTGTTGATCTTGCAATAATAGAATGGCTAATGTCCATACTTCTGAAGGAGCCACATTATGGTCAAGGTTTCCTGAAAGATACGGAATCAAAAGCTTATGTCCTCCCTATTAAAGATGCTCAGGGTAATGCATGTAGTCTCTGCTTGTCAGTCCTAACTCTCTCTGCCTGAGCCTGGAGAGAACATGTGCTAGAATGCCCTTAGCTCCCAGTCCTGTGAAGACACAGGAGGCTTCCCTAAAAACAGAAGTATAATCACAGTCCAGTCTGTGTGCTCAGAAAGCTACTGGAGAAGAAAGGCTCAGGTCCTGCCTTCTGTCATATATCTGAGCATTAGTGAACATTTCTGAGATGCGCTTTGCCTATCTGTAAGACAGTGGTGAAATAATAGGCTCGTATTTTGCATTGTACCATCTGGAGTGCCTTCTGTGTTAAAACTTTTCCAACAGGTTAGCCGCTGTTGTTTTGAATATATGGTAGACTGTGTCTACAATGCTTATTGATCACAATGTAGATAGAAAACAAGTCCTTTAAGAGTTGACACAATACTCCAACCAAGTACCAGGTGTGGAGATAACCTAGAACCTCTGCACAGATGTAGCCCATGGCAGTTCAGTGTCCAAGTGGGTTCCATAGTAATGGGAACAGGGACTGCCTCTGACATGAACTGATTGGCCTGCTCTTTGATCACCTCCCCCTGAGGGGGGAGCAGCCTTACCAGGCCACAGAAGATGACAATGTAGCCACTCCTGATGATACCTGATAGACTAGGATTAGAAGGAAGGAGTGGAAGACCTCCCCTATCAGCAGACTTGGGGAGGAGCATGCGTGGAGAAAGGGGAGGGAAGGTGAGATTAGGAGGGGAGAAGGAAGGGATTTATGGGGGGATACAAAGTGAATAAAGTGTAATTAATAAAAATTAAAATTAAAAAATTATTTGAAAAATAAAAAGAAGAGTTGACACAAGATTTTATCTTAATGATAGAGAACATTGCCTTGCATGCATAAGGTGTTGGATTCCATTCCCAGCACTGAAAACAAAAACCCAACTTCTTTCAACCGGACACATTCCTACCTATAATCAGAGTACTTGGGATCAGGCAGAAAGGTTACGATTTTGTTGAGACCCTGTCTCCAGACAAGCAAACAAACAATAATAAAATCAAAACAAAGAAATTAGAAGGACTAGAAGGATGGTGCAGAAGTTAAGAACACTTCCTGCTCCTTCGGAGGACCTTAGTTCAGATCCCAAACCACCTGTGGGTCAGCTCCCAGGCACCTGCAGTTTCAGCTCTAGGACCTCCTGCACCCTCCCCTGACCTCCATGGACACCTCTACACATGCAATATACAGGCATAGACACACATGCAGTAATAAAAAGAGTTGGAGTTCCGTTTTCCCTCTTTACAAAGGAATCGTACTTGTATGTGCTTGTATGGCTTCTCTTATACACTGTTCTTGTGTGACAGCCTCATGCATGCATCTGACATACACACTACAGCAGCCTATATCTATGTGTATAATGCATTATTGCAACTCATAAACACAAAAGTACTTTCTGAACTTTATCTTATTAATTGTCTTAATTATTTTAAACTATTTTAATGAGTTGTTATGACTAGGTACGCAGTCATAAATTGAGATGAATCAATGTCATTGCATTGCTCTGCTTTTCATGACTCCGTGGCTCTCGCGTTCTCATCTGTTATTGTATTAACTAAGCCAGGTGGGTCTTCTGCCTTCCCATGCTTTCTGTTGACCTGGACAGCTAAGTGGCAGTGTGACCACGCTTTTGGCCTATGGTAAGGCTGCTCGGTGTCTGAAAGAGGGTGTTGGTGATAACTGAAACAGTCTTCATTCTTGTGGCTGTCTTCTTTCTCTGAGGTCTAGGTATGAGTCTAACTTCACACTAAGGTCAGACGTAAGTCCTGCTAATGCTGGACAAAGCATGGACTGAGGCTTAGTTTATGATGACAAGAATATTTCTACATTCTTTTGGGTTTTGATTATTCCTACATTCTAGATTGGCGAAGTGCTGTGATAGAAAGTCAGGGGTGGCCCAGCAGCCCCAGCTGTCCATCAGTGATAGCAACTGAGTCTCTCTGGCTGTTATCTTCATTCTTGTTCTCTGTGGTGGCAAGGGGGGAGGTTCATTCTGTATAGACAACATTGCAAGTTTACAGTTCAAAGAACAAAAAGAAGTGTATGTTCAGCTTGGTCTAATCAGGTTATAATTACTCTGCTCCCTAAGGATTCCAGATCAAGAAGAGTTGATTACAGATAGTCCAGGTCCTTTACTTTCACAAAGCAGGAAACAAGATAGTGACAGAAACAGCATTAAAAAGAGAGGGGTGTATTTTGACTCTCAGTTCCAGAAAGTTTTAGCACATTCTGTAGGGAAAGTATGGTCGAGTTGCCTTGTGGAGCATGGAGGTGGGGGCAAGGGCTGTTCTCATCCTACCAGCCAAGGTCCCTGTGTGCCCTATTTCTGTCAGCCAGACCCCACCCCCTGTGGAATCCATAGCCTTCCCAAGCAGAGCTATCAGCTGGGGAGCAAGAGCTCAAAACATGCTGTTTTAAATTCAAATTCTAACAGTGTCTTCCCTATTTCTCCTTCCACCTATGGCCTTGAAGAAAGTCTCAGCCCTCACCAGCTGTGTGGCTTTCTTTCCTACATGCTAAGCAGAAGATGATGGGCTTGCCATAGATATCCAACAGTATGCCTTTGGCTGTAAACTATTATTGTTGTTGTTGTTGTTGTTGTTGTTGTTGTTGTGAATTTAGCTATCAAGAAGCTAAGATCTGCTTTACCTCATACATCAGTGTTCTCCTTTGCTACTGTTCATTACATTATTTAGTTTGGGCTTCATGGTCCTCTCCCTGTTATTTTAAGCTACAGTTACGATATAAAGGGTGACTCAGTTCTTAGCATTTTGAGCGTTGGTGTGAGATGCTCCGATTATGAGACGTGCAAGGTGGCACTACTGCTTTTACAGACCGTGGGATTTGGCAGACACTGCTTTGTACTTCCTGATTCTCAGATATCAAACAGCATTGTGTGACAGCCTCCCTTTTTAGTTGTTGTGAAGATTTAAAACAATGTTTAGTATATCACTATGATTGTTACAGAACATGTCAACTCTGGGGTCTGTATTCAAATTTAGCTTTCCTTAATACATCTTTTATCACTGTAGGACATCAGCAAACCTTGCTACATTGGTTCCTCATTTGCATCCTGGTGAAAGAGTGTGTTGGTCCCACATGTTTGTGGGAAAAGTTCAGCCTGGGTCTGTAAAGCACTTAGAACGATTCTCAGTTTAGTATAACATTGATGTTCTTGATACTCCTCTGGCCATTTTACTTTATTAAAGCAACCCTCCTTCCTTTCCTTCCCCTACGTTTCATTAAAATAGCATCTCATCCTGAAAATATTTTGTTTTAATGGTTCTGGTCTTCTCTTCTACAACCTGGGGTCCTGACTTCTCATCTCTCTAACTTTCTCTGTCTGTCAACAGGGGCGGAGAGGTCTTGGCTCTGTGTTTGTGTGGGCATCCGGCAATGGCGGAAGGAGCAAAGACCACTGCTCTTGCGACGGCTACACCAACAGCATCTACACCATCTCCATCAGCAGCACGGCCGAGAGTGGAAAGAAACCTTGGTACTTGGAAGAGTGTTCATCTACCCTGGCCACAACCTACAGCAGTGGAGAATCCTATGACAAGAAGATAGTACGTAACTTCTGCATGTCTATTGCCGTATTTTCCCTTGATGTTCACACTGAAAGATAAAGAGATATCCATCTCAGTGTTTCTGAGGAGCATATGGAAATAGCAGTTCAGATTAGCTGATAAAATAAGTCACTGTGAACATTAACAATCTATTACCAGTACAAAATGCTTGTCTGAGGCATGATAATTCAGCGTTAATATAACCTTCAGTTTTATTAAGAACAAATACATTTACACCCACATTTATATTGATAGTGCCAGAATAAAAACAAGGATCAGTATGTGATTCTCACTTCAGTGCCTCTTTCACTGACTTTGGATGCTGGTGTCTCATACAGCTAATTCATTTTGAACAAAAAAAAGTATATAAGAAAACTCATGATTACACTTACAATATCCATTTGCTTGTCTGTCTTCATGGGCGCTATACCTACAGACTAGCTAAGCACATTACCTTGAAGATAAGCTTTTACTAGTCCTTATTTGCTGAAGAATACACTGTTGTAACTGTATACATAGTGCTTGTGTTATTTTGTGTATTAAAGCAGTCTAGAAATGGGGTAGTAGCTAAGGAAGGGTGTGTAGAGGTAAATACGTAAATACTATGCCATTTTATTTTATATGCAGGATTTAAACATTCTCAGATTTGAGGATTCCTGAAAGCAATCCTTTGTAGATACCAAGGGACCATATCCATCCAATGTGTAGTTATCCTGTACTAACAGTACTTTGTACAGCTACCATAGTCTACGGAAATTATGGAGGTGCAGGGGGAACCACGTCCCACTGTCTTAGGCAAACAGCAAAAAGGATTCAGATTTCAGATTACTAGTTTGGCCTACCTGAGTTTTTGTCACTGGAGGCACCTTCTGGATCAGAGTTCTCCTTTATAATGTACAGGTTATATATATATATATATATATATATATATATATATATATATTAGTTCATAGAGCCATTGCTGACATAACTGGAGGAGACACAATTCAATAAATGATGCAACATAGTGCTTACCCTCCTCAGCATCTGGGGAAGCTCAGACTCTTGGAAGACCTGCCACAGGGCCGCTAATTCTACATGTCAAATGCTAGACCTCTTCTCCTCACCATGGTTTTGGAAAATGTCTCAGTCTCTACCTTCCTAGTGCCCAGCTGAGATGTTTCACCTGATGTTTGCGGAGCTGCTTGGGGGGCGGGTGGCACTGGGGAGAACCATCTCATTTTTCCGTAATAGTAGGGGAGGCACTTGCAAGTTCCCATGCCAACCCCAAACCCAAGCCACTAAGTCCAACAGCTATGTATCACTGCTGTGACTCCACATGTGGAGACAATTTAAAGCATAAAAGTCATCTAAAATACTGTTTAAAGTTACAGACTATGTATACAACATATATGCATGAAGCATTAGTGAATTCTAATTCCCATTTCCAAGACAGCTCATTCTGTTCAGGCATTCCAAAATCTGGAGAGAAATTTTATAGTCCAAAACACCTCAGGTTCAGAGCATTTGCCTCCTGTGTGAAATTAACTTATATCTACGGATCTCCTGTTGGTGCTCGTTCATTATTAGATTTTTATGTCTGATTTCCCAACTACTTTTTAGTGCATACTTTAGTTACATCTTAAAGATGTCCCAATCTTTCCTTAGTGCCTCCCCAATGACTGGATTTAAAATATTCACAAGCCTGGGACTGGAAAGATGGCTCAACAGTTAAAGGAAATTGGTTGTTCTTCCAGAGGACCTGGGTTTGGTTCCAGAATCCACATAGCAGCTCAAACCATCTGTCACCCCAATCCCAGGGGATGCAATGCCCTCTTCTGGCCCCTGTGGACACTGCACGCATGTGCTACACAGACATATACTGGGACAAAACACCCATACACGTAACATAAAAAGAAAGTTGTATGTCCACTATTGCATTTCTCAGTTCCTCCTCAATCATTTGTCAATGAGCTAACTCCAAACACAAAGTAAAATGCATAAGGAGAAAGTGCAGAGATGCGCAAGGCTAGAAGCTTCTGGCTTGTTTAATTAAAAACTAATGCCTCTCACCAACATTTTGACTTCCTTATAGAACTGTAAACATCTAGAGATACCTCTTTTGATTTTTCAGTACAGAGCCGTGTGTCCACTAGCTTGCAACCGGTAATGACCAGTGCCCCATGACCGCTTCGCTGCATCATGAAGTACCTGAGAAACTCAGAATAAGACCCCCACCATTTAGCTCTGGAGTGTGAGGGTGTGCAGCAAGCTCACACTCGCTTCCAAGCAACTTGTGTTCTCGCCAGCTCTGTTCCCTGTGGTGCCATTGCTGTGGGCAGGGTATCACTCATTTTCATAAGTACCTTCTCTATAAGAAGCTTAGACAAAATATCAAAGCAGGAGGGACTGTGCCCCACATCTGTCCAGCAGTTGTTGTGAACCCCTGAAAAGAACCATGGGGAAGGATGAGCCATTCTATGGTCAGGGAGAGGGCTTGGGGTGGAACCTGGGCACTGAATGCCCACATCCTTCTGTGGGATCATATACTTCATTTTCTCTTCCCTGACTGGATGCATATGCAACTCTTCCTTATGTCTACCTTGTGCTTATTCTCTTTCTATAAGGAAATTTTAATTTATTAAGAATTAGAAATATACTGTTTTGCTTATGTACTGATGTTGTCAGACTAGAGTTAAAAGAAATAACTCAGGCATTTCCTAATGGAACTAATTGGTGTCTCACCACACCAGTACACACTAGCTAATGGCTAGGGGACATAATATTTCCTTGTGTAAAATTGGGGAAGGTTGAATTCTAGATTACAGTATTTCTCTAAAAAGATGCATTTTATAATAGCCTCAGTTTCTCATTACAAAGGCCAAAAACTTGTTCATCTCTACATTTTCTCCTTCCATCTTACTATTTCTTCAACTCTTTTCCTTTTGTCTACACCCCCAAATTATCTGGAATGGGAAGAACACATTTGGAAGCCATTTGAATTCAGTGCCTGACTTCATGTTGATTATCTAGTACTAATTCACCCACTCAGTCATGACCTCCTCAACAGTAAAAATTGAGGTGACACCACCTGGCTTCAGAGATTCCCTTGATACAGTAAGAAACCAAGGGTAGTGACAGCCTGAGTGGGAGTGTCTGGTGTGCTTGTGGCTCTGAGTGGCTGTCATCATTGCCCTTAGGCCTGTGCAACCTTCTGCATCCTGGAAGGGTAGCTGGTCATTTTTCTGTTCACAGTGGTTCTTGTTGCACCTTCATTTTTCCAATCCGTAAAATCCTGTGGTCTCTTTCACCAGCCCTATAAAGAGAGCCACTGTGATCAGGAGCATGTTAACAGCCTGAACATGAGTGGAATTGGCAGCAACATTAGATTTTTATGGTCCAGCTGACCCCCTTTCCTTCCAGATGTCAGGATGATGAATAAGCCCACAGTGCGCTCAGGACCTTGCCATCACTAGGCTTTGAACCTAGACGCCTGTGGTCCCTGGGTGATGCCTGCATCCTGTTAGTGGCATCTGTGATTGAGTGCTACAGGAGTGGCAGTGTCTTCTTTGAACTGGGCCCCTTCCCCGAGCCATTCATTTCCTTCTGTCATTTGCAGCCTCTCCAGAAAAGCACGGTTGTCATTCTTCATTCCTAAGAGCACCTTTGTGATTTGAACCAACACAGTTGCTGAGGATCTAAAGGGACAGGGAAAGATCTCCCGTCTGCTTCTGGGAAAGCACTTTGTTAAACAAGCTTTACATATCTGGGACAAAAAGGTCTTCTCATGATTTGCAAGCAGGAAAAGCTAGCCCTGGGTTTTAAAATACAGCAAGGACTGCCTGCCTGGATGTCCTGCCATTACTACCAACTCTACAGTGGGTGCTGATATTATATTCGCACATAGACCTGGAGCCTTGGTGCTCTGATACGTCATTCCAGCAAATGGGGCATCCAGAAAGTCAAGACTATAGGATGAAGCTCTTCTGTAAACAGAATTATAAGGAATGACTATTGTTTGTTTGCAACAAAGTCTCACTTGACACAGGCTGATCCCATGGTCCTTCTGCCTCTGTCTCCCACTGCTACAATTACTCTGACCTGCCACATCTGCTACTTTTTAGGGATTTATTTTTATATATTTATATATGTTTAGTTATGTATACTCAGAAGGGCTTGCATGTGCCTTAGTGAAGGTGCTGTTGGAAGCCAGATGTATCAGTTCTTCCTGGATCTGAAGTTACAGGGCGTTGGGAGCAACCTGGATGCTGGGAACTGTACTCAGGTCCTCTGCTAGAGCAGCCTATTCTCTTAATCACTGAGCCACCTCTCCAGCCCACCCTGACCAGCTAGGTGAATGCTGTGACTGGAAGTAATGTTTTTCCGAACGTAATTCTATACATAATATTCTGCATCTTGTGTGATACAGTTACATTTATCATAGCATGTCGTAAACAGAACATTGTGGCCTTCCTAATGAGAACCTGATATAGCACTCTGCGCACAGGCTGCAACCTTTCCTGAAAACCTTGTGTGCAAGGATCGTCTTGTTCAATTCTCAGATGAGAAAACAGAAATGTATAAAGCTAGCGAAACACATACGTCTAGTCAGACAGGGTGCCAAGATTCCAGTGAAGCAGGATAAAAGCCCCAGCGCATCCGTCACCAGTGTGCCATCACATCCCTGACACTTCCTCGGGACCATGCAGTGTGGACCTATGCAGACGAAGTTGCTTTTCTTACCTGGTGTTCTCTGAACAGCTGCCGACCACACTTACCACCTTGCTCTTCCCAATTGACTTTCTGGCCTTTACCCTTTTCACCATTCCCTCAGCCAGGCATATAAATCAGAAGCAGCACTAGCAACAGCCTCCCAAGACTGTGCCCCTGTGTGATGAAAGCAAGGCTGTATCCTCCGCGGAGGACCTCGTGCTGGGGTGTCTTGCCCAGCGCACCACTTCGGCTGGGTGTCCTTACACTTCATTCTCCAGAGGAGTGTGCCTCCATGCTTCCTGCACTGG